TGATCAAGAAACTATTACAAGTTTAGCCGTGCAATATGTCACCCGTACACCTTCAAGCAACATTTTACTGCACACAGACGTTAGTTTACATTTTTACAATTCTTCCTATTAGCAACCACTAAGATGCAAAGTTGGTTATAGGCAGTCGGTCTATTTCTCCGAATAGGATTTTAAATAAATAAATTGTATATTTAAAGCCTTAATCAAATACATTAATTTTCTTTCCAATTAAAAGTTATTAGAGGTCCCGGTTTTCGTAATACAGCCAGCTGCCTAACAATGTTTAAGACCCGAAAAGCCCTCGTTAGAATGAGGGACTTTCGACTGCATTCATTCCTCGTTAAAGAAAATTGCCGGAGCTGCAAGGTGACATATTTTCTACTGTGAGCAAATCTGTCAGCTCTTGCAACTTACGCAGACAGAAAACGCAGTGACAAGGTGACTGTGCTCTTTTTGGGTGCAGACGCATCTTCTTTAGTAGGTGAAAATCTGACCAATCAGAAATGATGGAGGTGTATTACGCGCGCTTGCTCTCGAAAGTGTGTGCTCGAGTACACGTTTGAGCGCACAGCTGCGATGGGCCAGCATTTCGCCACTGTCACATCCGCATTACACGTCTGCTTAGCGGATCAATAGCAGCAACTGCAGCAGGTCTTGCGTCGGTGTGTGCTCTTGTGAGTCGTCGTTTTACAGGTGCTGCCCCCACAACTAATACTACTACCCCCACCACCACGTTTGAAGAATGGAATCGGCAAGGCCGTCAGCAAGATCACAGGTATACTTTTACACCAGTGGCGTTACAGCACCAGAACTTCCCACGCTCTTCTACACTACTATGCAACCGAAACGATCCACAAAAGACATTGAACAGCGGCCTGATCTTTATGCCTGTCCGCCTAACAGTGAATATGTTACGTATGCAAACCCAACCGGAAGCGACGGAGTATACTATGCAGAAGGCCCAATGATGGCCTCAGAAAGCAACTTGAGTAGTATCTCCATGGACAGCCAGCAGCGCCGTCAACGGACAAATCGTATAGAAGAACCGAGTGGCTACTGGGTCCTGCCCCATACGAAACATCACAAATCATCCGAGCCGTCCAGCTCTACTCCAACACGCTACGTTACCCCAGGAGGAAGATACTTGCATCGCAGACCGAAGAAACACACAGCGGGGGTACAGGTCAGAGGGCCTGACTACAAGGTGTACCCTACCGTCTCACCCGGCGGAGTGGTGGAGGAAAGCGAGGAGATGCAGCAGTATTCCAGCCTCTCTCGTAAAATTGATCCAAATATTTCGGTATGCCATGTTCCAACTTGTTTGCAACCCCTTGCATATGTTCATACTTCCTAGCATACATAGAAGACCAAAATATAAAAATATTCGGGAAACCGGTGCAGGTTAAGGTTTACAGTTTCAATTCAAGTGTAGGCATAATTAGATGACCGCAATTTGTTTGTCTCATATATATATATATGACAATGATATTATACCGTAATTCCGCATAGATACTTAGCTAAAAGCCTAGACACGTGTTTCGCCGATGTTTCTGCTACTGCATGA